AAGCAGTGGTATCAACGCAGAGTACTGGTTACCATAGATAACACCGGACCCACTGTTACAATAGACTTAAAAGATACCGCCGTCCGTGCAGGAGAATATTTGCTCGGCGGGATGAAACTGAATTTAAGCAATAAGGGAACAATATCTACCATTGACCAAGGGATTAAGTTGACCGAGGGTGTCTACACATTCGGAGACTACAATGTCACGGTCAACCAATACGGGTCAATCACGGATATAAGTGTCGTTGAGGATGTCGGTGCAGTCACTCATAGTTTGACAAAGAAAATCCCTGCGGGGGTTGAGAGTGTCTCTGTGAACTTCGTTCTGTCCGCACCGTCCGGATTGCGTATCTCTATTAAGAGTACCAATGTTCCCGACTGTACGGTAATGTTGGACGGCAACTACTACACGGGCGATAAGATTGGCAATGATATGTTTGAGATTGTTACCAATGCAACGTTCTCTGCCGGTCAGCATACGCTGGATATTACACCGTCAGCGGCATTTAGTTCCGTCGCTATTATCGACGTTATTCTGAATACGGTGGTCTGATATGGCAGTGTTCAACACGTTCGGCGGTATAGTCCCTAGGACTTCTGTTCACGCTTTGAAAGCTCCGAACGGAACAATAGCGCATAATGTGAACTTGCGTAATGGCAGGTTGGAGCCGTGGCGTGAGCTGTGTGAGTTTCAGAAGTTCGACAGTCGGACTCTGTCCTTCCACGAACACGGGTGCTGTACGGTCGGATGGAACGCCATAGTCACGGCGGCTGACGTTGCTCCGGACTGGGGGCGGTTCTATATTACCGGACGGACAGGACAGCTCGAAGCTGTTGAAGATGCTTGTTGCGGTCCGCAGTACTACATTGTCGGACTGCCCAGACCCGTTGCACATCCCGGGATTTCCGGTACCGAAGAGTGCGACCGTTCGGCAGACGCAAGAACTTATGTTTACACATATTTGAATAAGTGGGGCGAAGAGTCTGCCCCGTCTCCTGCAAGTGGAGAGATTAGAGTGAAAGACGGCTCGCCCGTAAGACTGACCGGCATAGCATTACCGCCCGACGGGTATGGGATTACACACGCTAATATCTATCGGACGGCGACAGCATTCCGTCAGGCTGACGGAAAAGAACAAACGCCTATGACAGAGTATTTATATGTCGGAACGATAGAGTTCCCCGCTACGTCATTTACCGATAACGTTAAGATGTTAGGGCTCGGACCGGTACTGGATACGGACGACGTGACAATGCCCCCGCAGTATATGGAAAATATTTGCAGCATAGACGTTACGACCCGTTTAGCCGGTACGCACGATAACCGAGTGTTCTTTTCAGAACCGTTCAGACTGTGGAGTTGGCCGGCGAAGTATGAGTTGACATTGGATAGTAACATTGCTCATATGGTGCAACACGGGATGAGATTGTATGTTACGACGGATACTTTCCCCTATGTGATTGACTGTTCCAAAGACCCCGAAGGGATTACACCGGTAACACAGATAGCAGAACCGCTTCCTGACATTGCCTGTGTATCTGACTGCTCGTGCATTGCGACACATTTCGGAATGTTCTACAGCTCGCCTATCGGAATTATTTTAATTAGCCCCGACGGGAAATGGACAAACATAACCAGTCGTTGGCTCGGTGAAAGAGACTGGGCAGAAGTAGCACCGGAGACTGTCAGGCTGTGCTATGCGGACGGGCTGTTGTTCATTGTCACGGACAAAGTATCGTTTGTTCTTAACATCGACGAGAAGAATTGGAACGATATGCAGGGCTGTGAGTTGACAACAATATCGGATAAGCCTATTGATATGCACAGGTCTACTACCGGTAAAGTTCTGATGTTGATAGACAACACGGTCTATGTTTGGAACAACAGCGAGAAGTTGCGTCCCTATGTATGGGAAAGCGGTGAGCTTATCCAAGGGAACTCGAAGTCCCTGTGGTCCCCTTCAACGGTTAAAGTCAGAACGAACGATACAGAGTTTTTAATCCGCACTCCTAGGGGTACGGAATATAAGAGAAAGGTTATGGATGAGCGACCGTTCCGGCTCCCGAAGCTGGGGCGGCACTTGTGGTATAATGTGCGTCTGTCCGGTTATGGTGTGGTTGACTTCCTTGAAGTCGGCACGGCTAATCTGACAGTGAATGCAGGAGCGTAAAATGAGATTTGATATTCTGAATCCCGAACAGGGTAGCGAAGAAGCTATTCAGAACTTGGCAAACACGCTGGGAGAAATCCTTGTCAAAGCGTGGGATAAAGACGGTAAAGACACCTACGGCAAGCCGTTCAATCTCAATGTTGTAGCATTGATACAGACTTGGCTGTCGGGGTCTCTTAAAGTGTTTGTGGCTTACGACAACGACAAGCCTGTCGGGTTCGCCCTCGGTATCAATTTCCGTCCTATGCAATTTACTTGCAATGTGTTGTCGATTGACACATTCTATGCGGAAACGGAAGAAGCCGAGCGTGGATTGCTTGCATATATTTCAGATGCCGTTCGGTTCCTCGGTGTTGAGGAAGTTTGGTTTACCAAGCCCAAAGACCGTGTGTCGCTTAAACTGGATGGCTGGGAACCGAAAGAATCTCTTGAATTGTGCAGGTTGATTAAGAAATGAGTATAGGTAACGACGACGCGTCAAATACCATAATAGCCACTGCCAGAAAAGCGGCTATGGTTGCCGCCGCAGGTTATGAGCTGTATCGGGCTTATGACATTGCGAAGCGTGAGTGGGATATTGCGAAGAAGTATTACCGCATATCACAGAACTGGCTGGACTATTACAGGGACTACTTCGCCCCTGTGGAAGACCAAGAGCTTCGGGAAACGATGGCTCTTACGGTTGAGAAGCCGAACTACGACACCGCCCAAGGACGTGCCAGAGTTGCAGCAATGATAGCCTACCGCGGGAAACTTTTCGATGTCTATAAGAACACCACACGGTATACAACGGGTCGTCGTGCCTATGTTTTATCTACACTGATGACTGCACAGGCTAATGCTATTGCACAGGCTGACAGTCTTGGCTATCGGAATGAACGTGCCTATATCAAATTGCGTAATGACCAGCGGTTTAAGAAAATGCTTAACACGGCTAAACGTGGTAGGAATATGGCAACCGAGCCTGTATCATTCGCCAAGGATGCATTGGGTTCTTATGGTAACTTATGGAAACAGATTTGGGATACTACGAAAACTATCGGTAAGACCGCGGGGTATGCGGACAATAGGAGACCAACGGAATACCCGGCAACCTATATGTCTGCTGAAATGTTGATGCCCCGTATTCCGCAAGCCACGTCACCGTATGTAGCATTTGACGAGAACGGTATTCCGAAACCAGAGTTTACATCCGATATTTACACCAGACAGCCATCACTAACGAAGGAGTAAACTATGCCCTGCGTAGAATCAACATCGGCCGCAACAGCCATAGATAGTCTGAATGATGAGTTAACAGGGAACGCGCTTCCAGAAATAGATAGTACGCTCCAAACTACTAATGAAATAATAGACCAATGGCATTTCTCCGGTGTAACCGCCGCAGGGTGGATTGAGTCTAATGCTTTGGCTAATGCTATTGCCCTTGCTATTGGTTCTCTCAATGCCCTCATCCAGTGGAAGATTTCAGACCTCCAACAAGACATAGCAGACTCCTACTACCATATGGCAAAATACAAGTGGGACCGGTTTGCTCGGAACTATATGCCGTTGGAGAAGAAATTATTACAGGAAGTATCAAGTGAGCCGGAACCGAAGTTACATTGTAATGACGATAGGACACGTGCGGAGCAATCTGTAAATTCCGCATATCGTGCAATGCAGACATATATGGGACGGGTTAGAAAGTCTTTACATATCTGCATTGACAACAACATTCTTTCTATGGTAGAATTATCACGTTCAAAAATGTTAGTCGATACGGAAAACTATAACCTTATAGACGACCAGTATTGGCGAGACATTATGAGTGATGACCGTTGGAACAGACGAAGCAATGTGCTGGACTTGGGTCGTAACATAGCGTCACTGGCTATGAGTTATGGAGACACTGCAAAGCAAGCATTGAGTGCATTGGCACCGCAAGTTAGTACTGTGGCTAATTCTTTTGTTTCATCGATTGGGTATTTCGGAGCACGGAATGATACAGAATATCCAAGGGTTTATATGACAGGGTCATCCACGCTTTCAAGTTTACCCGGAGTTCCGGTAAGTGTAGGGGGGCTCCCTGATAATACGAGGAAATCTGGGTCCGAAGATTTTGCAGCACAGCATGTGTAAGGAGTTGATAAATGCTGAATGAATTACTACAAGGAGCCGTTAAGGCTATCCCCGGTTATGTAGAGGGACAGCAACAGGCCATTAAAGATAATTGGCAAGACTTGAACCAGTACAACCAAGTTAAGAATGGTCAGTTAGGTAATCTGCTTAATGAGGCTACATTTAATGATAGGGTTAATCAGAGTCTTGACCAAACTATTTTATCACACCTTGGTGCAAATGCGGCTAGGAGGCAGGATTTTCTTAACGCACGAGCAATGCCCGCGGCAACGATGAATGTTGACTTGATGAATAGAGACGCATTCGCATTAGGCAATGCTAGAAATGTTGCAACAATGGCGCAGTTAGGTGCTGTTCCATACATGACAAACTTAAGTATGCGGATGGGAAATCAGCAGCTTTTGAATGCACAGGAAGAAGCCAGATATTTACCGTATCTATTAGGAGCTTATGGTGCTAGGACACCCGGCTACCCCGGCGTACCCGGCTATCCCGGCATACCCGGCTATCCCGGCTATCCCGTTTATCCCGGCTATCCCGGTATACCCGGTTACCCACCGGCCGGAACGCCAACAATACCTAGTACTAATGGAACAGGGAGATAATTGCTATGGCTGAATTTGTTCGTAACGACTATTTAAGTTCCTCGGACGCAGAAACTATAGACCGCGGAATAGCGCATGCTAGATTTTTGGAAGACCAACGTGCACAGCAAAGAAATATGCAAGCGGCTATGCAACAGGGAAGCACTGCGAATGCTGGCGATGCCCACGGGAGCGCATATTCTCCTATGTTTTATCCGCAGGGCGGCGTTGTTTTCCCGATGGGACAGCGTCAAATGTTTGGGACAGGATATGTACCCGCCTATCCGGGAGTCGTTGGTGCTAATGACCCCGTTACTACGTTAGTTGTATCAACCCCGCAGGTAGAAGACTGGTCACGTATGGGCGACGCGATTGCTAGTAAAGTATATTCGTCTCCGGATGCGGCTACTCAACTGCAAAATATTTATCGTACGCTTGGTAGCGGCGGTGGCGGTGGCGGCGGTGCAAGCCGTGGAGATGTGATGGGTCCCCCTGCACCGGGTCGAACCAATAGAATGCCGATTTACATGGGGCGTGGGAACATTGACTTTGTTTTGAAAGATATGGTTCCGGGTCGGCAGAATGTCGGGTATCGGAATGTTGCAATTCATTTACCGGACGGGTCTATACGACTTTATAATTTGGACCAAGTTAATAGCGACCCCAAAATGCTTGAACAGTTTACTCTGGATATAACCAACTCTGATGGATTGACTAATCCTTGGTATCTAATTCCTGAGGAAGACCTCCCCTTGTTTCAGTATCCGAATGAGATGAACCCGGGGGCTGTTTCGCAAACAGGGGTTGTACCACAGGCGCAGTCTAATACACCACAGGCACAAGCACAAACGCAGACAACTACGCCAAGAACACCGTCTGAATCCAGCCAAATGTGGGAATTTTTCAAGCGTGTAATGTTCGGCGGATTGTTAGACCCTCTGGGACTTTTTAATAAACCCAGTGATACTAATTCAGGAACTACCGCGACACGGAATATGTCGGCAACCTTACAACAGGGAGCAAAGACACCAGTTCCGCCGAATAATCAGGGGGTCTCTGTAAACGCAGGAGACCCTAACCCGCGTAATGTTTCAATGAACCTAACACCTCCGCCGCAGGATAATACTGCTAACACAACCGTAGCACAAACGGAAAACCTTCCCCCAGACTGGTCAACTATTTCCCCAGAGAACAGCCGCTGGGTTCAGCAACCCGACGGGTCATTTATAAATGACGTGACGAATGAGAAAGTAACGGAAGATGAAATAAAAGAGGGGATTGCCACGCAGCAAGTTCCTAGTAATAAAGTTTTTTACCGAATGCAGACCCCCCGGGGCCTACGTCAATTCCGACGGCGAAACCTACAGAAACTACAATAAATAGGGAGAAAACAATGGACACATCGCGGCTTGCAGAGGCACTTAATTTATTAAACCCCGACTATGCCGAGGCAAAAAATTTCATTGACCAAGCAAAATCCTTGACACTGTCGGGGAAGTCTGCTATACCGGAATTAGGCGAAACATCGTTTGACGACCAATTAAGGTCGCTAATTGACTCTGTTCCCGTTACTCGTGAATAATCAGTGAGGTTTATATGGCAACTAGCAATGGTTCAGGCTCTGGCTTTAACTCTGTCATGGCATTTATTCCGGACTATGCGTCTGATGCACAGAAGCTTTATTCAGCAGCAAAGGCCGGTATGAGTTCATCGTCTCATGGCTCTTCTGCGCTTAGCCGATTGCTGCTGGCACAGGCCCTTCGTGGAAGTAAGCTGACAGATAAAGAGAAGACTGCTATTGCTAAAAATATGTCTATTCAGGGAATAGCGCAAGATATTCAGGCAATGCCCGAATATAAACAAATGATGGAAATTGCCGGTAATTCGCAATATCCTATTGAGTATAGAATAAGAGCATTTGATAAATTTAAGAACGACCTTGATATTAAACTCACGGAAGAATACAAAGCAAAGTATCCGAATATAGACGTTGAGGATGTTACGTCTGAAATACTCGGTTCATTTGTTACGGAGCTGAATAGAGAGAAAACTGCTGTTATAAATGACAAGACGGTTAGTAACGCAGCGTCGCGAGCGATTGGTGATATTTTATCCGGTATGAAATCAGGCGGTCGGAGTCTGTGGCATAACTGGGTTACTAATGATAGTGATGCCTTGATGGCGATTGAGAAAGAGAAGGCTATTGAGCAAGCACGGAGAATGGAAGAACGCCCCTATGAGCTCGACCAGCTCAAGCGGATGCAAATGCTTAATGAGGGAATGCTCGACCGCACGTCCGGTGAAACGGGATCGGCTATCTATAATGCTGTCAACTCCGGTATGGTAGCACTCCCCCCGATTGCGGCTTCGCTTGGTGCGTCTGCGGTTACCGGTGGAGCAGCAATTCCGGGTATCATTGCTGGCGCAGTTACCGGCGGACTTGAAATGGGTCTTCCGGCTGTATCCAATCTCAATTCAGCAATTTATAATGACCCCAATTTAACGGACGCACAGAAGGCTGAACGGTTAAATGAAAACATTCCGGCCGGGCTTGTACTCGCAGGTAACACTGCGGCCGGTGCATTTATGCCTACAAGAATTGTGGGACAGGGTCTCGGAAGGCTTGCGCTTGGAGCAGGGTTTAAGCCCACAAGTAAATTCGCTGGTGCATTATTAGGCCAGAGTGCAGAAAGAAGTATCCCGGCATTTGCAGCCGACTATGTAAACAACGTCGTTACTAATGGTGCATTGATGACCGGAACTACTTTGCTCAACAATGCTACTGCAAATGTAATGACTGACCGTCCGTGGCATGAGAATATTGGTAATGGCGTGGAAGAAGCATGGGGTACTGCGGCTTTAATGGGTGGTCCTTTTGCTGCTATGCACACGCTTGGCAGACCTAAACCACAGAATGCACAAAATACTGGTGGCCAAGGTAATGGTGGTCCGGGTACCGGTGGTCAAAGCTCCGGCGGTCAGCAATCGTGGGCGCAATATGTTGCACCCGGACATGCTAAACCGAAACTGAACCATGTTACCAATGACTTTAATGGGTTCTTATTAACGCCCGATAACAATGGCAGCTATGTACTCGAAAGGAAGACACCGGACGGACACGTCGAACAGATACGGCTTGTTGAGAAGCCCGGTAGTAATAAGCCCTATGTTGTTGAGCAACGTTTTGTTGACGGCGCATTGGATGGGTGGAGACTCGTTGATGGTACTATGTCAGATATTCTTTCCGACATGGGCTTCCATCAGCAGATGAGTTCGCAAAATATTGTTAACCAGCCAGACCCGAATAGTTTATCAGGCGGGGCAGGTAACTCATCTGTTGTCGGGACAGGGGGCTCCAAGATTAACTATGTGCAGCCACCTACTACTCCGACTCTAAATGACATTCCAAAGAGTGACTTACAGAATTGGATTAGCACCAATGTTGGTACCGTAGTAGCGGTACATCCGCAGAACCCGAAAGTCTTTGCAGTAAATCCTGCTACTGGCGGGGACCCAATCTTTGTCAGCATTGCCAGAAGCGACAAGAAGAGCCCGTGGACATTATACAAATTAGACGACCCCAATAACCCCACACAAGCCGAAGCTATTCTGACGGGCATTGGTAACTCCGGTGAATTTTCTATTATCAATAGGGCACTCGGTGGTAACCGTAAGGAAATTAGGGGGAAGGATAAGTGGGATAGCGTTGTTAATCCGGGGCAGCCCCAATCACAGCCCCAATCACAGCCTCAATCCCAACAGCCAAAACCCGCAATAGCTGAAATACCCCAGCCCGAAGGGTCAGTAGCCCGATTACTTGTGGACGGCAGTATTGAGATAGTGTATCCGAATGGAGCATCACTGTCCTATGGTGGTCGCCACGACATTGGGTCGTTCAATGCTTTGTTCGGTTCACACTTGAATAACAAACAAAATGCACAGGGAACAAGTAATTTGCAAGGAAGCTTCTATGACTTTTTCCGTGGATACCAATGGGTAGATAAGTACACTATGTTGGACTCCAATGGAAACCAGATTCGGTTCTTCGCAGACCGTAATAGTGGTGAAGTCATAATGGAGTTTACAGACGATACGGGACGTGTATCAAGACTTGGTACCGGTACAACCGACCTAGACGCATATGTAAACGACCTAGCGTCGCAGTTGCATAGTTTCTTCGGTACACAAGCCCCACAAGAAAGTCAGCTGATTGTTCAGCATCCCATAGACCAACCGGTTCAACAGCCTACAGACCAACCGGTTCAACAGCCCACAGACCAAACGGCTCAACCGGTTCAGCAGAGTACACCGGTTCAGCAGAGTACACCGATATGGTTACAAGTCTATCAAGCAGTGCATGGGGGGTCCCCAGTGGTTCGGCAAAGCACACCGGTTCAGCCGAGTACACCGGTTCAGCAGAGTACACCGGTTCAACAGCCCACAGACCAACCGGTTCAACAGCCCACAGACCAACCGGTTCAACAGCCCACAGACCAACCGGTTCAACAGCCTACAGACCAAACAACCCCCATCGTTCAGCAGACCGCGGAACAAACAACTCCACCGGTTCGTCAACTCACGTTTGACGAGTCCTCTCCTGTCCCGACTGCCGTGGATGCCAATAAACTTACACGAGTACTCTGCGTTGATACCACTGCTTTGAGAATGTTGGTGCTAATCATCGACCAAGTTAAAAACTAATGAAAGAGGGTCGGGCAATCTACAGGGCTATAAATTCTGATGGGCAAGAGTTCGGAATAGGTGTTATTAGCCACGAGGGCTCTTACAATTTATATAAGCTGGATAATGCTGATAATCCTACAACTGCGACATTGTTATTGAAGGGCGGGTCTAAAGACGGTGATAGGCTTATCCGTTCGGCCGTCAGTAAAAGTATGTCTGACTATAACAATCCAAAAAGTAAGCATAGGTTTTGGTATGACCAATGGAAGACCCCGTCAGGGCAAACCAAGAACACGGAACAACCGGCTGCTACCGGTAGAGGAAATCCGAGAGATGGGTCGCTTGCACAGCGTCTTCCCAAGGACCAAACATTAGTTGAAGACCCAAGTAAATACACACGTGTACCCGGAACGGACGACTATACCTTTGGTACAGAGACTGTTCGTATAAGCTCTGAACTTGTGCGAGAAGACCCGTCGTTACCTGTGCTTACAAATCAAGTCACGGCAACCCTTTTCAGAGATGGAAAAGAGGTTGCACGGCAAAGGATAGACCGAAATGGAACAAGCACTCAAAGAAATAATCCGGGCGATAATTCAGTGGAAGCCAATACCGGTAGAAGCCCAGAGACAGATACCCCCAAGAACCCTGAAAGTACTGCTGGAGATAGTCCAGTTGATGAAAGCCAACGGAATGGCGGGGCCACACTTTCGGGCTTCGGACAGAATGAAAGCCCTCAAGTATTTCCTACAGCAACGGGGGATATTACCGCAGTCACAGGGGAACTTAACAGACAAGGTGGTGAACAACCTCCCCGAACCGATGAAAACGCAAGTCCTGTCACAAGAGAGCCAGCTAGTGAAACAGGCAGAGAACCAAGCGACATTGGGAATGACACAAATGGCGGCGAAGTCACGGGGGAAACTGGGAATGTAACAACGCCTGATGTGTTTGATTCTTTCGCCGATGTTCAGCGTGTAGAACTAAAGGGCGGCGGGTTCAGCCAAGTAAAGGCGATTGCCGTTGACGCTGAAGGTAACAGAACAACACTTAACATAAGAAAGACCAAGGGTACGCAATTCGGAATATTCCAGACGGGGAAGAAGGAACCGCTTGCGGAATTTGCAAGTAAAGACGAGGCAATGGAGGCACTGGAAAAGGCCGCAACATTAAAAAAATCCCAGCGTGAGGCTAACGCAGGGTCAGAAATAACCGGAACCACAGGACAAGAAGAAGTAGTTGAAGACAGTAATTCCTCATACCGTCGTGTACTCGACCCGAAACGGAACAGCGACCCCTATTCAGACTCTGAACAGACAGACGTTGAGTTACGGTATCGTAGTGAGCTCGACGCAATCGATAAAATTTTAGACGATAACAATGGCGACATTGTAACTCGTGAGGGACCCCGAGGCTAACAGGGCTCGTGTAGAATTTACGGATGCCGAAACAGGTAAAACTAAATTTGCGTTTAGTGACGCAATTAAAAATCCCGACGACGCGAAAATTTTGAACCATTATAGCCGTACAATAGGAGACCTCTTTGAGAAAAGGGACTACAGCGATAGAGCCGGTCGCAAAGAGTCTCCGGCCGAAAACGCACTAGGTAATAATACAATGGACCTAATCGATCGGCAAGACGCACGAGACGAAATAAGAGAAAGGATGATTGACCCTAAATTAACGCTTCGTTTTAAGCCGAACGTTACACAGGAAGAACTCGAATCCCATGCACAGGAAGTCCAATCATGGGTTGCAGACCTCGAAGCCCAGACGGGAATCAAAGCCATAGTATTAGCGCGGGGGGCGGACGCACCGAAATTATTAGGCAAGCGGTTCCATTCGACTGCTTCGGCCATGTTTTATGGTAAAGATTCCACCATAGTATTTTACGGTGATGTAATAGTCTCACGAGACCAAGCACGGGAGATTTATTTACACGAAGTCGGTGTACACTATGGACTTCGGAAAGCACTGGGCAAGCAAGAAACCGATCGTATAATGGTGCAATTAGCTTGGGAGCTGGAGAATACCGAGGCATTACCGAAGGATATAGCAGAAGCGGTGGAATATGTTAAGGACTTATACGGACGCAATAATCCCAATTTTAGGATTGATAATGTTGATACTCGTGCGGCATTTATGGAAGAAGTCCTTGCACGTCTCGGTGAAATTCGGAGAACCAGTCGTTGGAATGACAAGGCCACTGAAACATTCTGGGGGAAGTTCGTCAGACTTATTCAAGAAGCCTTCGGCAAAATATTTGGCATTAAAAATGATTCCAAATTTGCACGACATATTTATGGAATATTAGACGAACTTGGCGACCAGATGTTCAAAGGTAAGCCGGGTTCGATGGCGACGGACGTTCCGTATACAGTATATACTGACCCGAAGAATCTCGCCACAGTCAGCACTGTGTCTCATCCTAATGGACCACGTGTAACGGGACGAGAAGAACCATTATTCTCCGAGTTTACAGCATACCACGTCACTAATTTCCCCGTCTCGCTCACGCCAAAGGGTAAGAAGTTTGCGCATAATCTGAAAGCCATTGGCGATCGAAAATTCGGTGAAGGTGCCAACATGCATGGGAGAGGGCTCTATGTGAGCCTGACAGAGGAGACAAGGGACGACTATAAACATTCATTAGACAACAGAACATTATCTCTCGACTTTTATGGAACAATACACGCAAATAGAGATGCCATGCAGTCGGACTTTATCAATAAATATGGTATAGCATTAGAAGACTTTCTATATAAAAATTCATATGCGGATAAGGAAAGCATCCGTAATGGAATAAAAGATGGGTTTGGTGCTGCTGAAAAGTTTATGAATAGATTAGAAACTAAATACAAGACACCGCTACCAGTCCCCTCTGAAATTATAGATAAAAATTTTATAGTCAATAATATGTATTTTTCTGATGCCTCTATACTGGGGGAAGGCATGAGCGATGTATATATTTATTGCACTGACCCAAAGGCGGGGAAACAAGTTGTATACAAATGCAGAGTGGAGGAACATAAGTCCCCGGGTAGGGGAAAAGGAACTTTTAAGGCCTATTGGCATCGTTCAGGAACGGAGCCATTTTATGATTATCCTGCGGGAGATAGGGTCTGGCTTGATTCAAATCAGTTAGTTCCCGCAGACGAAACAGTAATTCAGCGGCTTGGTCCCGACGATCCTATAAATAAAGCATACATGGATAGGGTCTTGGATACGGACTTATCCAAAGTAGTTGACGAATATCAATGGCATAACCCTAATGGCGATGGGGCTATTAGGCTTAAGGAAGTTAATGGTAACCGTATGGTAACGGAAGAACTGGACCCTGAAAAGTTTCGTAAGGGAACAGCTCCGCTTGCCTATGAAATGACAGTGCCAAATGAAGAAGACTTCGTAGTTGAAACCTCATCTGGAAAAACATGGCACACAGGAGGTAGATGGGCTCCTAGTCGGCAAACGGAAGCCGTTCGAAACCGCATGCAAGCCATATGTGATGGGTTTGGTATCCCTCTGACAAAGACGTTCTATAAAGATGTGTATGAACACATGGTAAATGATTTAGGATGGAGCGACGATTTCGCAACCCAATACCTATACGACAATGGTATTCCCGGTCTCCGGTATGAGGGCGGTGCCGATGGTCCATGCGCAGTTTTATTTAATCCCCAAGCCTATTTAATCGATAAATATTATTCGCGGATTTTCCATCATACTTCAAAACGGTGGGTTACTGACCTCCTCAATCATGGGTTCCTCACTGTTGGCGTTGAAGAAAACGGCGAGGGCAATCAGATGAAAGGCGACGGTCTGTATTTCGCACTGGATAAAAATGTAGCCCTAGCATATAGAAGACGGTTCGCCGCACATCGCCTCTGGGTAGACCCAATAAAAGAACCCGATATATATGAAAGCCTGTCCCGTGAATTTTATAAACAGGTCGGAGTCCCATTTTTCTTTGCAAATGGTGCGAACACTACATTTAATGTATTTACGGGCAAATTAGATATGTTCCAAAATCTAACAATGGATGTTCAGTACAAATATTTTTATGATGCACTCGCCGCAGAAATAGAAGTTCCATACTCTTTGATGCATGGGGAAGAACAGCCCGTTCGTGCACTGTTCGTAAACACAGATACTATGAAGGCTCCGGCAGAGATTAAAAGCCTTAAAGATAGCGGCCATCATGTTATCCGTGTCGATGCCTTCAATAATGCCGATGGAACCTATATTCCGTATTATGGGGTTGGGACAGATACAGTAGACCCAGCCACCGGTAAAATACTGGACAGACAATGGAACTGGTACAAAGAATACGCTAGTAATGGAACACTTAAATCGGAAAGCGTATCTAAAGTATCGAAAACTAATGGCCCCGGATTCATTGAAGTAATGTACAATTATGTTTTGTGGCATACTCCAACAGATAGAGATGCATTCAATACGCTCAAGGGTGCCTATGATAATTTCAAGTGGACAAATCCCGATACGGGCATTGAGTATGGCACGTCTCAGAAAGCGGGCACACCTACTGGGGGATTCTACAAGAACGAGCCAGAAGAAAAATTAGCGTCCGGTGTTTACACTTATGATTTTATCGGACCCGATAAAGAGGACACGCTTGTTGAAACAAAGAACGGGCATTGGAATAATGGTTCAGAATGGGACCCCGATAAGCAGTCGGTGCAAATCCGTACTGCTATGGAGAACATGTGTCGCGACCTTAAAATACCATTGACAAAAACTTTTTATAAAGACGTTAGACTGAAGCTGCAGTCCGAGGGCGTAAGCCGTGCCGATATTTGTGACCGCCTCTACCAGTATGGTATTCCCGGTATGTCCTATGTGGGAAACACGGATAAAGAATGCTTCGTTAGTTACAACCCGCAAGCCCTTGACCTTATCAAACGGTGGGTACTGTCAGAGAAAAAGATAGCAGAATTGGCAACGCCCGTTAAAGACATTCAGGAAGCCATAAGGCCATTGGAAGCCAAGTCGGGAATTAAAGTAAAAGTTGTCCAGCATGAAACTGACCTTCCGGAAGACCTTACCGAAGGGCAAGAGGGATTTATTATTGAGGGTGTGTACGATCCTAAAACGAAGACACAATATATTGTAGCCGACAACATTAACTCCCCCGAACGTGCTAGACAGGTTTACACGCATGAAGTCGGTGTACACAACGGTTTACGTGCTATCTTTTCTAATCAAGAAATCGGTAACATGATGAACCGTTTGTACCAGAGTGAGATACTGGGCAATGTAGATAATGCTCGTGCATTTGAAACATTCTGCAAAGATAACGGACTTGATACCAACACAGTAGCCGGGCGTAACTACGCAATGGAAGAGTTCATTGCCACTATGGCTGAACAGCGTCAGACAGGACACTGGCGTGACCCTGCGAGTATGAATATTTGGCAGAGATTTGTACAGTTTATCAAAGACATGTTCCAGAAATTATTCGGAGACAGCAAAGCAACCCCGAATACTATTGACGAGCTTCTTGATACACTTGGGAAGAGACTGTTCTATGGGGATAGATTCAAGGAACCAGTTCAACCGGTTGAACAGGTTGAGGTAACTTCGATGGGTGGCATTAAAGTAGAAGACCCCGTTGGAGACCATGCTACTTATGAGCATAAGGAAACATTGGATAATGCCCTTGAAGAACAGGAACGTCAGGACTTGGAAAGACAATTCGACGACGTTATTCCGCAGGACGATAGTGAAATAGCCGGAGACCCCGAGCCAATTAACGCATCCGAAGTTGACGGAGTGGCACGTGCATTCTTCAGCAAGCAGTACTCTGCGTTGATACCACTGCTTGGCGCATTACAGCGTGAGATATACAAACGAGAAGTTCTCAATGAGCTTCTGGGCGACGCGGAAAAGATTGGCTACAGTGCTTGGTATCGTTTCCAAACAGAGCTGGCTGAAAAATATATGAACAAGGGAGCATTAACAGAAGCACTTGTTAATTGCCTTGGAAACTTAAAGAGCAAAATGGTTTATAACCATCCTGTCAATTCGTGCATTACGTGAGTTTGAACCACGGGTCAGGGCTGCAAGTAAACCCTATTATAACGAACTTGCTAGTTTACGGATACAGCAAAAAGCAATAGCCGATAGGCTTGGAATTAGTTTGGACGAAGCAGTACATGACTTGGGTGACGGTGCCATCTGCTTACATATGGCAGAAAGAAATAACTACCTTATAACCAAGTGGCGTGAATATGCGAACAGTTTGGAGCAAGAGAATAATGGGCAGCCCACGTATGAGTCTATGGAATATAGGCAACGTGCTGACACATTACAGCAAAACCTCAATATCATCCGTACGGAATTTGACCGTATCCGTACCGGCGGGTATACCAATGCCGAGGCAGCTGAACTGTATTATAGC